CTCTGCACACCGAGCCAAACTATGAGTGGCTGGGGCAGTGGCTGGCGTACTACAGTAGGCGCCTTCGCGCCAACCACGTCTTTATGTACAGTGTCATGCCGGGCCAGCGCTTGCAGGATCTGGAGGGGCTGGGTGTGCCGCACGTCGACCTGCAGAACGTCAGCCTGCTCAATCTTGCCACACAGATGCAGTATTCTCCCTGCTACTTTGGACAGACATTTGCCATTCATGACTGCCTGTGGATGAACCGACATCTGCGCACCGAATGGGTCATGTTTCAGGACTTTGATGAGGTGCTGACGATTCCGAGCGAGTTTCCGCTGCCGATCAAATTCTTTCGCTCGTTCAGTGCGAGCTCGGCAACTGCGCTGACATTCGGATCGTGGAACGTGGATATAGGTTCGTGCTTGGACAAGTCGCTGGTGGGTGAGGAGAATAAAGACTGGCCCCTGCTGGCGCAAATGCGTTGTGTGGCTGAACCAACAGGAGGCTACACTCAAGCCGACTGGCAGGGACGACGCAAGTACGTGCTGAGGCCCGAGCGGCACGTTCGCCTGTACGTGCACAAGCCGCAGGACGGTGTTGTGCACAACCTTGCGGCTCAGCACACGCACGTACGCCACTACGGTGGTCTGATGGCTCCCTGGAGAAACGCATATCTCTGCAAGAAGGCGTTCGGCACACACGCACATGCTCCGAATGCCACAGCAACAACTACAGTGCCTTCATCGACAGCGGGAGCAATGCGATGTACACTTAATAGAACAATTGTGCAGCAAAAGCACTAGGTAGAAAGGATTACGTAACTAAAGCCCACAAGGCTGCTAAGATTTTTTTAAATCATTCATTTACCGACTTGGCAAGCAAAAAAGTGCATTCTTGCATCCGGTCCTTGAGCGCCTGTGTGTGAATACTGGGAAGCATATACAGGTGTGTGCATGGCATAGAGATGTTGGCCCTGTTTCAATGCCTGCTTGATTGTGTGTGTGTGTGTGTGTGTGTGTGACTTTCACGTGACTTTCTCCGTTCTATTGCGTCCGAGTTTTCTTGTTCTCTCACAATTCTGGTAGATCAAAGCCCCCCCCACCCCTCTAGCCTAGTCTTGTTCCGTAGGAAACCCATACTTCAAGCATGCTTATGATAGTCGGTACGACATTGCTTCGCCTGGCCGCTAGTCACTAGGATGATTAAATTAATCTTTTCTTAGTCTGCGCTGAGAATTAATATTGATATGCCACTCCGTCCCACCATACTGATACACACCACAGTTTTACAGCTGATGTTCCACATATATTCGTCCGAGACTACAGATGAAGTCTCAGTGCGATTCAAGTGGTACGAACATAATTATACTTTGTAACATGGAAACTGTGGGTACAAGTTATGCGATCGAGTTCACCAACTAAACCAGATTTTGAACAGTCAGACGTGCACAATTTAGCACAAAACTGACAGGGAGTCCTGAGGCATGCTGTGGAATGTCTCAATTCTCCTTGTCAGTTTTGTGCTAGTTTGTGCACCTCTGACTGTTCAACATCTGGTTCAGTTGGTGGACTCGATCGCATAACTTGTGCCCACAATTTCCATGTTACATTGTTTTCCTTCACTCACCATCTGAGTTCATAATGATAATTATTAATTTTATGAAATTATGCCAGCTGTCAATGTGCGACAAGAAGACTTCCCTGAAGTTGATTCGTTGGCTTTTTTCGGACATGTTCCCACATGGTAGTGGACACTCCGGAGTGCTCACGAGATAAACTGCAGCCTCTACTAAACCCACGTTGTACATGTACAGGTGTATCTTTTGCTATCCCAGATTTCAACTACATGTACTTCAAAGTACATGTACATGTACTTGATTGTGCATGAATTTATAGCGTTATTATCATTAATATGTGCTTGTTCGCGTAGACATCAGCATGGCCTGCAGCTGCATTAATTTAACGGACACCCCCTCCCCCAGTCCATGGAGCAATGAAGCCGAGACCTCTGGTCGGCGGAGCTTAATGGGCCCCACCACCCCACTCCATCATTCACCCCAGTGTCTGGAGATATGTGGATTTTGTAGAAAAAAAAGAAAAAAAACACGCAAACCAGCCAAAAGTGTTCGCATAAGCCACTTCGAATAGATACATGTACAAAAGACCACAACAGTTTCAGAAAAAAGAAGAAATATGCGAAAAGAAGACAAAAACTAGGGTGCCGACACCACTCGGGCACAGATGCCCACCCAACCGCTTCGGTCAGCAGCAAGGGCACGGAACGCCTCCAGATCGACTTTGCTTGACAGGGAAAGTCCAATCCGCTTGGCATCAACTTGTACTTGTAGGAGCGTTGGTAGTGTGTGTCTTGGTCTTCCCCTCCAGCCCGCTGGACGAGGGCAGGCTCTGCGAAGTACGCTCCTATGGCCAGTGATGGTGGGGAGTCAGCAGGTACATGTAGGCCAGCAATTATGTTGTTGTCAAATGAGAGCTGTTCACGGATATTTATTGGTATTACATTATTTTGTAACTCGGGTATTGAGCCAATAATAAAAGTAGAAAGGAAAAGGACATATGGAAACGAGTTAAGAGTAACTCTCCACCACTGTAACTAGATACTATTATACAGTCAGAAAGTGGCTTGTGCTCGTTTTCGTTGCGCTTGCCTTCCCCTCTTTGGTCTTTCCATAACCTTGAACCTTCCAAGTTGGAAGGCTGTCGGTTAGCGCTACGGAGATGTGTGGAAGCTTGGTGTCAGGACGTCGAATGTCTCAGAACTCTGTCAGTTTTGTGCCTAGTTGTTGCACTTTCTGACTGTATTTAGTATCTAGTTACAGTGGTGGAGAGTTACTCTTAACTCGTTTCCATATGTCCTTTTCCTTTCTACATTATTGTGTGTTTTTGTTTTCCGTTTCAGAAGAGAATAATAATAATTATGATCACACTAGTTATCTTTCAAGCAGGTGCCCTTCATTGCTCGATGCACGTGTTTGCGTGTGTGCATGTGCGCTCGCGCTTGTGTGTACATGTATGTGCAAGCGCGGGAACCTAAAATGTACATGTATAACTACATGTACATTGTAGGAGTAAGCGGATTATGCTCGAAAAATGACCAGATTATGCTCTAGCTGATGCTCGCACGAAGCTAGAGAAAACAGACAATTATGCTTTTATACATGTATGCTGCACCAAAAAGACCAAAAGAACAGATAATCGTCATGAAAAAAGGACTCAGACTATGTATACTGTATTATCTCTAATATAAGAACGGTCCTTTATTTTTTCAATGTACATGTACCTCCGCCCCGTGCTATTAATGGAGACGTTCCTTTAGTGGAGACTGTTCCATTATTATTTCAACCTCATTTCAGAGGCATGTTGCTATGCCAAATTCATGTCAGACACACACATTTCAGGGGTTTGTCGCCGGTACAGATAATGAATTTACACAGTGTGCTTATAATGGAGAATGAGCACTTTATTTTTTTTAATGCCGCCCCAAGGCGTTCTATTATTGGAGACGTGCTATTATTGGAGACTGTGCTTATATTAGAGATAATACTGTCATGATATGGACTGAGAGCTTTGTGGAAGTACAAGACAATAATATGCAAGAGGAATACCAAATTCACAAGCAAACGCTGAACCTTTGGGGATGTCCTATAGTGGCTGCTAAAATATTATTCCAAATCGAGAAGAAGCGCTATGTATGGTCCTTCAATAGCAGGTGTGTATATAACAGCCTCATTGGCATCTGCCCTTGTTTTTCGGATGCCATTTTATGCTTCTTCTCAAAAAGGACCTGATTATGCCAACAATTATGCCTTCAATAGCAGGTGTGTATAACAGCCTCATTGGGCATCTGCCCTTGTTTTTCGGATGACATTTTATGCTCCTTCTCAAAAGGGACCCGACTATGCCAAAAATGATGCCGGCGTAATCCGCTTACCCCTATGTACAACCATCTAAAGGCTAAACTACACCACAAAAGTCATGATGTGAGTTTTCACCATTGCCTTACCCCCAGCCACTAGCCAGGGTATCCAAACAAGATTTGCACACTTTTCGGGACTCAACCTTTTGACAGAATGATGACCATGACTGACGTCTACAACTACTTAGCACAAGTAACACGTTAGTTACAGCTACAGTAAAGTATAGACATGGGGACAAAATGGAACAGGCCAGTACTCAGGTACTGCAGTAGCTGCTACTCCCAGTTTCACGCCACATGGCCATATCATCCGACGACACGTTTTTATTGTTTGATGATCGCCCGACAATAACTTGTTCCATTTGTCTGGTACAGTATTATGGGACCAGCGCCGAACAGTGTGTACACCATGTACACTGTACTGGTCGCAGCAACACTCCAGCAATCGCCTTTGCGTGCCCGATGCACACTGAATGATGCAACATTAATTTTGATGTGAATGTACATGATGATCGTACTTCAGTACAATCATACTACACTGTACCTGCGTTGCTTCTTCTGTTCTCTGATGCCCTGGCAAAACTCAAACTGTCAGACTCAAGTCAAAGACTCAAAAGCCCCAAATCTTGTCTACCGACAAGACGAAGTAGTTGGAAGAAGTCATGATTACAGACATGGTGTCATCCCCCTAAACAATGACCATCATTTTTACATACACGCGTGATGCATCGCCATGAAAATGTTTGGTAAGCATCGACGCGACCACTCGACGTGGTGTCGACATGTCGCATTCCAGACCAGAGCCCACGTGGCGAAAACTTCTAGTTCATTCATCAATCCAAGGAGATCGAGTCAAAGGATCCGAGCTACTACACACATGTAGTAGAGTGTAGACCTACATACTGGGGCACTGTACAGTCACTGTAGATCTACAACAAACTCAAATAATCGGGGCTTCGTGGGGTGCACATGCATGGCGCACAGCGTGATGCACTGATGGTTGCGAAATGCATGACTTTGCTGATCTACTTCTATGCTACATAGTACATCTGCCGGAGCGCGCGTTCGTATCGTTTGTTGGGACGATTTCCATCGCACGCGCACTACCTTCCTACAATACATCGTGTAGTGTCCTGAAGATTCTTGCCCCGTAGATCTATGTTACGCAGAAAAGGTCGACTGGGCATTCGAGCCAATGGACTGGCGTTGGTTTCCGTCCTAGAGAATGGCCGTCTTCAAATCTGGTGTGTTCGTTCCTCGAGCTAAGCACGAACCTAGCTGCGTCGAGTGTCTTCTCTAATCGACGACTGCCTATCCGAAGTAGTGGCTGCTGTACGCCTACCGTGGTGCTATTGAAAACTTGAAGAGAGGCACGAACGGGAACGTGCGGGGAACAGCTCCGGAAATTAATACATTCTTCATTCAGCAGGAAAACTCCGTCACCTTCTTGCCCTTGCATCTGTTCTGCCCTGTGGAGTCTCAGTGGGAGACGAACGAGGAAAAATTGCGCAGCTGGCAGGGCTACCGGTGTTCAGCGGCCATGGCTCCTTGGTTCTCCTACCGTCACCGCCAGATGGGTACCGGCGCAGTGACGGAAAGTGCGGACGGATTTTGGGGCAAAGTGACGGCGTCGCTGGACTGGTGTGAGGGAAACTACGAGATTTCCTACTACATTGCTGAGTTTTGGAACACAGTGTCGAACGTGAGCTTCCTGCTGCCCTCGCTGTTCGCAGCCTGGTACGTATGGCGAGTGGGCTACGCGCCCAGATTCGTCCTGGCACACCTGAGCGTGGCACTGATCGGCCTTGGCTCGACGCTGTTCCACATGACGCTCAAATACACAATGCAGCTAGCGGACGAGCTGCCCATGCTCTATGGCACTGCAGCCCTCCTCTACTGTGTTATCGAGCTGCCCAAAGCACGTTCAGAGGTCAGTATTTTAGTGCTTCAACTATTACTTGTTCCTCATTGGGGGAGGATGGGCTGGCTTAGAAGTCTTTTGGCAATTGGTGATCACATGCCTGCCCAGATGGAGCAATTTTGAGCATATTCCGTCTGGGAAAAGACTAGGCCGCGCCTTCAGAGTACAAGATACTTGGCTTGTGATAGCGCTCTGCCAGCCTGTCACCGCTCCATGCAGCAAGTGAAAATTTCAATTACCTTTTTGTAATGGTTGAATCCATCCTAAATGTGTACTAAAATAGGTACAACTGCAAGAATCAACACAGCTCCCCTGTCACAGGCTGGCTGGCATTGCGAGGGCGCAAGTCAACGCTCCCTGGGCTTGGGAGTTCCTAGGCCTAAACCACTCACTGTTGCCCAGCAGAAAAGTGACTGGCTCCTTGCAGCTCCTGGTTAAGTGCTATAGTTGTTATCCTACTGACACCAGAAAATCTGACATCAGAAAATCTGACACCAGAAAATCCGCTTGTAATGCCTGGTTCACACTAGGCCGATTTCCCGGCCGACATGGACTTGTACGAAAAATCCGCAAGATCGGGAAGAAAATTGCCTGGTGTGGACAGTGTTGTCGTACAGTTTTCCGACAGATCTACGGCGATTTTCTTGTCGTACTAGTTCTGGCCAAGTATCGACTGGTCGATATTTTGCCGAAAAGCCGGCCAATTTTTAGTGCTTGCACGTGATGGAGCGGACATCGGACCAATCACTGTAGGCTTTTCACCATGACAGGGGAGAGCGTCGGTGCAGGCTGTGAACTGGCTGCACTGGATCGCTACTAGATGAGAGATTTTTCATGCCTTTGGCCTTGTAGCTCGTGTACAAACTATCTCAGTTCCGCGATCTAGCGTCTACTACGGTCTAGTGCGGCTGTGTACCGCGTGTACGTGTATAACAGACAAGCCTGCAACCATAGTACAAGTGAAATTGTCCACCTTTGTGTGTGAACAGCTAGTCCGACTTGTCCGACACAGTCGGTCCATTTCTTGTCGGAGTCGGTGTGGGAACATCGGCCGGAAAATTGGCCTAGTGTGAACCATGCATAAGGGGCTGTCCAAGTAACGATTATTGTTTTCTTTCAAAAATCTCATTAAATTTTGTGGGTGGATGGGTTTCAGGACCAAATTTCCTTGCGAAAATAACTGTTCACCGCACCTGGAGAATGCCCGGGTTCCACTTCTTTTTGCAGAGGAGTGCAATTGCCTGCAGAAATGGCGTGTGATAGCCCTAGGTAGATATTGATCGACCAACGTCTGATTTCTACTTTACATTGTGCCCGTCCAGACTACATGAGCCGCAATCAGCTAAAACCTGTCACGAGAGCTGAGTGGCACGCAACGTCGTAAGCTAGTTCGCCGTCTAATGTAAGCTCCCACAGGGCTTCTTCGCTACTGGGGACGACGGGGGCGCTTCAGCTTCGCTGTCGACATCGACATTAGATCCAAACTATTTTTTCTCATCATCGCTCTGAAAACCCGCCCCAGACGTGCTGACACCTGACCAAACCCGGGCCATGCACAGCGATCGTCTGGCCCTGCGAGCTGCTCCAGTGTCACTTAGGCCTTGGCGGAAAATACTCGAAAAGGTGGCAGATTCTGCTCGAAAAGCATTGGAATTGGCAGAACCATACAAACTTATGGCGGGCAATTCCTCGAATTCTGCTCCATTTCTTTATCCACATACCAAACATGCATGAAACGTACTAGAAAAAGTTTAGAATTCTGCCAATTTTTCTGCCAGCATTATCCGCCAAGGCCTAGTATCACTAGACTTACGTTGTTTGTCTTTGCTCGGCGGCTACTTGAACTAGGCCGCCGAAACCAGTGTTTGAAAGAATTTGAGAAGATGATCGCCACCGGTTCAAGAATGAAACGCAGCATGAACACGCTCAACAATTTTTTTTGTCTTTCCATCATTTCTCGAATGGAGAGCCAATGATTAATTTATGAAAAAGAAAGGACCAAGGAACTAAAAGTTATGCTATAATGTCCACTAACAATCAGCTCAGGCGTGCGCACCCAAAACGTGCTCCAGCTGATAGCTAGTTAGTTGTAGAACGTCAGTACTGTTGGTCCTTTTTGTTCAATATTATCCCATGAGCTGATTGTCAAGTACTAGTAACTGGTGGTGCTAGTGGACATCAAAGTGTAACTTGTAGTTGCTTCTTCCTTTTCTTTATTATAAATCCATTATTTTTCAACTTTCGTTTCTTCTTTCGTTTATTATAAATCCATTATTTTTCTTCTTTCGTTTATTATAAATCCATTATTTTTCTTCTTTCGTTTATTATAAATCCATTATTTTTCTTCTTTCGTTTATTATAAATCCATTATTTTTCTTCTTTCGTTTCTTCTTTCGTTTATTATAAATCCATTATTTTTCTTCTTTCGTTTCTTCTTTCGTTTATTATAAATCCATTATTTTTCTTCTTTCGTTTCTTCTTTCGTTTATTATAAATCCATTATTTTTCTTCTTTCGTTTTTTTCCTGCGACCTGACTTTCGTAAAGTTGCTGAGGTTTAAACATAAAGGTTCAGGAATGGTATGGTCACACCTGACAGTGGGCGGATGGTGGGGGTGCCGGTGAAAAGGAGAGCTTTGTGCCGATGAAAAGGAGAGCTTTGTGCCGGTGAAAAGGAGAGCTTTGTGCCGGTGAAAAGGAGAGCTTTGTGCCGGTGAAAAGGAGAGCTTTGTGCCGGTGAAAAGGAGAGCTTTGTGCCAGTCACAGGTACAATAAGTACTGTTAGGTTCGGTAGACAAGAGACAAGTAGTTTATTGGTTAGAATATACGAAGTAGAAAAACTGACAAGATTCAATCTGTAAACGACAGAGAAGACCTTCAAAGATATGCGTGCGTGCATACACAGTAGAGCTAAAGTTGTACGGCATTACGTCATAACATAACACGCCCCTTCGAAGATAAAATTCCATGGGTGTCAACCGGACACAAATAACAAACACAGTAACATAATAATAATTATACTCTCACGCCCCTTCTGAGATAAAACCTGGTTTTGCCTCAACAAAATAAATAAATAAAGTCATAACAGACGAGATGAAATGACATAGGCATGATGTCAAGATGAGACCAAATATTACAGACAAACATTGTCACACATATGACTGTCCAGACGTAGATGTAATGGTGAGACGGTCAGGCGTCTTGCGAATACGAGTGCTACGACGAACAGGTTGGGTAGCGGCGTCAGTAGGTACACGTACTGATGAAGTTGGGGAAGGGGTATGACTAGCGGAGTCAACACATGGAGGAACATACGGACGGAGAAAGCGGCGATTACGCCAGAGGACACGGCCACTGGGCATCTTGACGAAGTAGTCGCGCCGACTGCCAATTGCTACAATGACGCCACGCATGGACCACAGCTTGGTCTGGTGGTGCTGAACATCAACATGGGTGCCAATCCGTAGAGAATGGAGAGAGCGTGCCGATTTGTCATAATGTGTTTTCGGATCTACAGAGTCCACAGCTTCAGCAGACGCAATCCAGTGTCGATCAAAGCTGGCACGGTGGGCGAACACAAACGACTGGAGGGACTGACCGAACAACACTTGGGCGGGGCTGCTGCCATTAGGGCGGGGAGTATTGCGCCACTCCAACAGTCCGCGTTGGAAGGAGTCTACATCCAGATCTCCATTCCGGGTCGTCTTCTCAATGAGCAGTTTCACTGCTTTCACTGCTGATTCCGCGTGGCCATTGGATTGAGGGTAGTGTGGGGTGGAAAAGCACTGTTCCACACCCCAACGCTCACAGAACTCACGTACACGGGAAGCGGCAAACTGCGGGCCTCCATCAGTGAATATCTTGCGCGGTACGCCAACATCTGCGAACCAACGGCGGAAGTGACAAATGATGTCATGGGAGGTAGCGGTACGGCCAACTCGAGCTACACACGGCCAGCCGGACAGACGGTCAGAATATACCAGGAACTGCCAGCCTTGACAGGAGAAGAGATCTGCGCTGGCATACTCAAATGGAAATGTCGGCTGTGGCTCGCGCATCAATGGCTCCTTCTGCTGCGAACGTTGGAGCTCACGACAGACAGGGCAGGCACGGATCAGGGCTGTGATGTCATCACTCATCCTCGGCCAGTAAACCACTTGACGCGCACGACGCTTGGTACGTTCCAGGCCCTGGTGAGACGAATGCAGGTCAGTCAGTACACGGCGTTGTAGAGACTGGGGCACAACAAGACGAGAGCCACGGAGGACGATGCCGTTATCCAGGGTGAGGTGCTCACGGCCATTCCAATACGGAGCGAGAGCAGGTGGCATGTGACGTCTGGCAGAAGGGAAGCCGTCACGAATATAGGAGACTAACTGCACGTAATCAACGTCAGACTGAGCGGCATCGCGGAGCTCGTGGAACGGAAGACCAAATAGTGCTGATCCGGAGTCATCCTGCTGAAGGCATGCACGGATGGCTTGTCCAGATAGCGAGTCGGCTTCTCCCAGGAGATCATCGGCAACCGGGTTCTGCACTGGAGCACGCGACAAGGCGTCAGCAAAGGCATGCTCAGAGCCCTTGCGCCACGAGACGTCGAATTGATAGAGTTGTACCTTGGTCATCAGACGTTGGAGCCGAGGATTCTCAACCTGGTCCAGTGTGTATGTGTTCAATATTGGAACAAGGGGCTGATGGTCAACAACTACATGAAACGACATGCCAGCAAGATAGGTGTGGCATTTTCGGATGGCCCAGGCGATACCCAACATCTCCAGTTCGATCATTGCGTACCGGGATTCAGTGTCGGTGATGAATCTGCTGCCGCACTGAATGAGGCGCCACGAATTATTCTGGTACTGCCAGAGGCCAAATCCGAGACCCTTGGTCCTAGCGGCGTCACACTCGAGACGTGTCTGTGCTGACGGGTCGAAGAAGGCCAATAACGGTGGGTCAACAAGTGCTGGCTTCACAGCGTCCATAGCGACTGTGTGCTCGGGTAGCCAGAGA